ATCCTGAGAAGCTTATCCACGCACATGAATTAAGAGCCTTTGGAAGAGGTTTACTAACACTCCTTCCAGCTGCAATAGCCTGATGTTCTGTTTAAGCAGTGGATGGCTTGCTTGCACTCTGAGGCCTCAAGTTTTGAGCAGATATTCAAGTGAGCCCTCTCCCAAGCAGCCTATAATAGACATCCATGCTGAGATGGCACCCAGCCTGCACAGCTTATCACAGTTCCATCTGTGCACATGACCCAGCTATCATTATTCCAGATGTTTATTCTGACAGTAGCGAGCAGCGAGGCCTGGCCCAGTGGGCTCATACGCTTAATTCCATGGTTTATGAGACTGAAGCACACAGTGGGGATCTGCAAAAAGTTAAATGGAAATGGTCTCACTGCCACCTCAGATTGGATTCTCTGTTATTCATTTCCTCTGCCTTATAATTAAAGCCCACAGAGGAGGCAGTCAATTTCATTAAGCAATAAACCGGCAACAACATGGGGACCTTATGATGAAATGTGATTTTTAAAATATCCCAAGCATGAGCATCAGGACTTTTGGGTGGTGGCCTTCCTAACTGCCATATTCAAGGAGGTGGGAGCAGAGCGGGAACAATTCAGGAGCTGAGATCTTAGGTTAAGAGTTGAATTGTGTCCCCGCAAAAAGATGTTGAAGTCCTAATACCCAGTACTTCTGAATGTGACCGTATTTGGAAATAGAGACTTTGTGCATCATCAAGTTAAGGTGGGGTCATTAGAGTGGGCCCTAATCCAATATGACGATGTCATTATAAAGAGGGGAAATTTAGACACAGAGACAGACATGCACAGAAGGAAGACAAGGTGAAGACACAGAGAGAATGCCATCTACAGGCCAAAGAACGCCCAAGGACAGATTCTCCCTCACGGCCCTCAGAAGGAACCAACTCTGCTGACGCCTTGATCTCGGACTTCTAGTCTCCAGAACTGCGAGACAACAAATTTCTGTTGTTTAAGCCGCCTAGTTTGTGGTACTTTGTTACAGCAGCCCTAGGAAACCAATACAGGCTCTAAGTAAGGAGACAAACTGACTCCAAGCTTGGGGAGAGGGATGAGCAGTGAGAGGAGATAAAGAAGATAAGGAACATAATACAGTTAAAAAACACAAGGAAGTGATGTTGGGAGTCTGAACCATCATACCGTGCGTCTCTGAATTACCAGGGATTGGGGACAAGATTCAAGAAAGCTAAGTCTAGATGCAGGCAATTAGAGGACACACTATCTCTTTTCCTGGTGATACCCTCGACCTTCCTCCACCACTTTGGTGAGCTGACTGCTTGTAGAATTCTATGTCCTGTCTCCCCCTTGCCCTCACTATGTTGAAGGGCCTCCTATCTACCCACAACACCTGGACCTTATCCCAGCAGAGTGTTTGTCCCTCTGCATTATAACAGCCTCCATGATGATCTTCTCACTGGGTTGTGACCTCTCTGAGTGCAAGGACTTTTCCATTTTTTTTTCATTCTTTTCCATTATTGCATCCCCAGCATCAGATACTATGCCTGATACATTATAGGGAGGCTCAATAAATGTTTGTTAAAGAAGTGAATGAATGGATGGGTGGATGGATGGATGGATGGATGGAGGATAAAGGCATAAAAGGCATGGACTTGATATTAAGACAAAAATTAGCTTGCATCTTGGGGCTGTAAGTATTTCCTGGGCTGCAGGTGATTATAGGATGTGGCTTCCTAGGTAAGAACTTGGTCAGCAGGACCAGCAGTTGGGAAGGGCTACAATTGGTTGAACATTGCAACACTGTGACTAGAGCCATGTAGCATCCATTCATTTATCCATCCGTGCCCAAGCATACTTGAAGGGCTGTAGTATTCTGGGCACCTAGGGATACAGAGATGAGGAAGTAAAATTCCTTGAGGGGCTTTACAGATTGGTGGAAAAAGAGACTTGTAAATAAGGAAGGGCAAAAGTGTATTCCCAAAGATATTTGCTGCGTCATTATTTATAACATCAGAACATTGGAGAAAACCTCATTGCTCCTCTACAGGGAGAAATGGTGAAATATAATACGATACATTAATCTGATGGAATATCATGCAGCAAATAAAAAAGAACAAAGAAGATGTTCAAGTACTATTTCAGTTAAGACTAGTCTAAGCTATGAGTGATAGAAAACTTGAAATTGGAGTGGGCTATCATTGATATAAAACCCGAAATTAGAGTAGCCTGAACAGAACAGCACTTCTTTCCATGTAAACAAAAGCCACAGGTAAGCAGGTGGATATGGTGGCTCAGTAATCATCAACTTAGGCTCCTTCTCTTGCTATTTCTCCATCTTTAGAACGTAACTGCCCCCTCATGGTCCAAGAGCTGCTACTAGAGCCTCAGCCATCATCTCTGCATTCCAGGCAGCAGGAAGAAAGGGTGGATAAAGAAGGGAAAGTCTCTTCCCTTTGTAGATATTTTCCAGAAGTTGCACATGATGCTTCTGATTTCATTTGTATCAGAGTTGAGGTGGGGTGCCAAGTTATTATGAGTGTTAGAGGATAAAATATTTATTATGGAAAAATAGACTTTATGCTCTTGGAGGAGCTATGAAAAGTTGGAGGGTCAGAAAAAGCAACAACAACTGGTCACTTTGAAAAGCCAAGCACATTCAGCTACTGAAGGGGAAGCGTGGAGAGATCTATAGGAAGTTGCTACCACCTCTGGGAGTCCTCAGCCAAGCATCTGGGGGTGGGTCAGCAGGACCAGAAGTTAGGAAGAAGAATTGGACATGCAATGAAAGAGAGTGAGTTCCAGATGGAAACTGTTGGACCCCTCTGCATCTATCTGTTATCATACTGGACAAGAAAATGACCATTAGAGAATAAGGGCTACTGCCTCACTTCTGCCTCCTAAATTTCATACAAGTTCCTCTTTTGGCCAACTATAACATGAAACCATAAACAAAATATAATTCTGGGAAATGCAGCTCCAAGTTCAACCAAGACGATCCAGCACAAACCACCACAATCCACTATTGGTCACCCTGGCATGCAAATACATATCCTTTTTTTTTTAAACTAAATTTTCAAATAAAGACAATAGTGAAATCATGCTTCCATGTAACATGACTCAGCTGTCCCTCATACAGTGGAAAAATGCAAACCCTTTCCCCAAAAGAGGATACATAGAGGCTCATGTGTCACTTTGTCCATCACTGGATGATGTTCAATTCTCTTCTAGCTGAGTCACACTCCATCTGATGGCCTGTAATTTAAACATTGAAACATAAAATCAACTGCTATTAACACATCCTATGTTAGAGAGTAGGAGAATTGGAGAGGGAAAAATAAAAATGTATTGGTTAATATATATTACAAATATGTTCGTATCAAAGCAAGGAAGAAACAGTCATAAATACTACCATCCTCATTTCTACAGCTGATCATATGGTGATAGCTGATATTTATTACTTCTCTCTTTCACTGACATATTCCATATTTTCTTCTCCCTCAGCAAGCAGATCATAACCTAGCATGATGGGGTGAGCCAAGCCTTCGTTCCAGAAGGGTCTGGGCCATTAGCGATCCTGGTTGTATTAGATGTTGTAGTTTTCCATTAACTTTTATCACAGGACACAGGATGGCTAAGAAGCAGCCTAGAGGATCCTCTATGTTCCAGACATACTCTTCCCTGTCCCCAATTCTCCTTGATGATCAGGATCAATCACCCCAGCCAGTAAAATCGAGACTTTTTTTGGGAGGGGGACGTTGTCCTTTGGCGTGAGTTGCTTAAAATGATCAGAAGAGCATGTCAGATTCTAGTTAAAAAACCCACTGTTGTGTCTCCCAGTGAAAGGATTTCTCCCTTGGGATTTAAGACCTTTAAACCAACAGATCCCAAAGTTATGAGGCCAAAAAGCAAACATTTTACTAATGGATCTCTAGGGATAATAGACAAAGAAGTCACTCCCATTTCTACCTCTTGATTCCAAGATGCATAAATCCTGGCTATGGGAAACATTGCCATACTTTGGTTGATAATTTAGAACACATATTGCATCCTGACTCTGAAAAGTGTTGGCATGTAGCTGACACCACAACTGAATCTTTTTTTTCCAACTTAATTGAGGTATAATTGACCATTAAAAAATTGTATGTATTTAAGGTGTACAACTTGATGATTTGAAATATGTAAACTTTGTGAAAAATTCACCACGATCAAGCTAATTAACATAGCCGTCACCTCACATAGTTACCATTTTTGAGTGTGTGGTGAGAACACTTGAGATCTACCCTCTTAGCAAACTTCAAACATACAATACAATATTGTTAACTATAGTCACATCGTTGTACATTAGATCTCCAAGACTAATTTATGTTGCATAAATTGCTGAAACTTTGTACCCCTCAACGAACGTCTCCCCATAACCTCCTCCCCGCAACCTTTGGTAACCACTATTCTCTGTTTTTATGAGTTTGACATTTTTAGATTCCACATATAAGTGAGAGCTGCAGTATTTGTCTTTCCGCATCTGGTTTGTTTCACTTAGCATAATGTCCTTCAGTTTCATCCATCCATGTTGTTGTTGCAAATGGCAGAATTCCCTTCATTTTTAAGGGTGAATAATATTCCATTATATATATAATATTTATAATATAATAAATGGAATAGTCCATGATATATATATAACATTTTCTTTATCCATTCATCTGTCGATGGACATTTAGGTTGTTTCCACGTCTTGGCTATTGTAAATAATGCTTAAATGAACATGGAAGTACAGACAGCTCTTCAAGATACTGATTTTATTTCCTTGGATATATACCCAGAAGTGGGACTCCTGGATCATAAGATAGTTCTATTTTTAATTTTTTGAGGAACCTCCATACTGTTTTCCATGACTGTGCCAACTTACATCCCCACCAACAATGTACAAGGGTTCCCTTTTCTCCACATCCCTGCCAACACGTTATCTTTCGTCTTTCTGATAATAGCCATTCTGACAGGTATGAGGTAGTATCTCATTGTGGTTTTGATTTGCATTTCCCTGATGATTAATGAAGTTGAGCACCTTTTCATGCAGCAGTTGGCCGTTTGTATGCCTTCTTTTGAGAAAGTTTACTTAGGTTCTTTACCCATTTTTTAGTTGGGTTATTTGTTTTCTTGCTATTGAGTTGTTTGTGTTCCTTATATATTTGTGTTATTAACCCCTTATCAGGTATACGGTTTGCAAGTATTTTCTCTCATTCCATAGATTGTCTTTTCACTCTGTTGATTGTTTCCTTTGCTGTGCAGAAGCTTTTTAGTTTGATGCAATCCCATTTGTCTAATATTGTTTTTGTTGCCTGTGCTTTTGGGGTGATATCCAAAAAATCGTTGCCCAGAACAATGTCAAGAAGCTTTTCCCCTGTTTTCTTGCAGTAGTTTTATGGTTTCAGGTCTTATGTTTAAGCCTTTAATCCATTTTGAGTTGATTTTTGTATATGGTATGAGATAAGGGTCTAATTTCATTCTTCTACATGTGAACATCCAGTTTTCCCAACACCATTTGTCAAAGAGACTACCCTTTCCACATTGTGTGTTCTTGGCACCCTTGTCAAAGGAGTTGGCCACTCACACTACTCTCCTTTTCCTTACATGAGAAACTCAAGGTCTGGGTAGTTCTCTCTTGGCACTGAGCTTTGCTGGCCTGGGGGATGGGATGATGTAGGCAAAATACATCTACTCTTCTTATCCTTTCTGTGTGGTTATTTTCTTTCTCTCTCTCTCTCTCTTTTTTTTTTTTTTTGTGAGGAAGATCAATCCTGAGCTAACATCCAATGCCAATCCTCCCCTTTTTGCTGAGGAAGATTGACCCTGGGCTAACATCCATGCCCATCTTCCTCTACTTTATATGGGACGTCATCACAGCATGGCTTGACAAGCGGTGCGTCAGTGCACACCCAGGATGGGGACCTGTGAACCCCGGGCCACTGAAGCGGAGCGTGTGTACTTAACTGCTGTGCCACTGGGCCGGCCCCACTGTCTCTCTCTTTTTTTCTCTTCTCTGTATTGCTTCTGCTTCTTAACTGGATTCTTGAGTTCTCCCAAAGCTGTTTTCATTCACAGATAGCTATCTAATTGGGGTGTGTGTGTGGGGGGGTGATGGACGAAGGCCAAGATCTCCTACTCTGCCGTCTTGCTGATGTCACTCCTATAATAGGGTCTTCAAAGGCCATCCCATCATTCTATCAGGCAAGCTGCTTCACGAACCTGGTAAGATCAGTGAATTAAATGAGCATAAGCCCATCACCACACTTGAATCGTTATAAAATGAGTTCTGAGGTCAGAGACAATCCTGTGTAGGGTACCATGACAATGGATGAGGCATTCTGTAAATCCAAGAGTAGTGTTTTTGGCAAAATTATAGATAGGAACAGCAAATCCATAGCCATGATGGAAGGCATTTGGTCAACCTACTACCAGATAACTTGTTGGATCTCCAGGAAATGGTACCAAATCAGGGCTCAGTGTTGGTTTCTCCTGTTGGCACATTTGGTATTCAGCTGTAGCCATGCTGGCTTTAGTGAGTGTAAGTCAAGTTGCTGAGCCCATGGATAACCTCCATCCCTGCCACCATGGCCACATTGTTGATGAGACAATTAAGCAGATAGGAGTTGTTGGAGGAGAATGGGATAGACACAGACTAGTTTGCCTTGTCTACTTGATTATTAAGATCTTCCTCTGCTGAGGCTGTTTTTTGGTGAACGTTTATATGAGACAAGTATTTTCATACTCTGTGCCCATTTGGAGCAGTCTATTTACATAGTCCTTCCTCAGACCTCCTTGTGACTAATTTTCCAAACATGTTCCTTCCAAATTTCTAACTGTTTAGCTACTGTCCATGAATTGGTGATTCATACCCCTGATTATCTCTCCTTCCAGAAAAAAAATAAACAACTAAACGCATTGCTTGAAGTTCTGCCACTGGGAGGATTTCTCTTCCTCCCTTTCCTTAAGGACTGCTTTTGGGTAGGGGAATAGGGCTCAGCTAGCTGTTCACTTTCAGGTAATGCTGGAATTGGGCAGGATAATTTGTAAACCAGGACTAAATAATTCTTGCCCCATAAACAGGTCTTAAGGAACACGTCATGAGGATGTGGGTGCAGGTCGGTAAAAGAAGGAAGTAGCAAGAGCAGGAGCCATTCTAAGCTACTTGTTTTGACAACTTGCTTCTGCATTGACGTGCTTGAGTCACTTCCACTTGATGGAGTGCTGCTGTGCATGCTCAACTTCATGACTCGTGGGTCAGGAAACACCAAATTAATGATAGGCAACTCAGATCACATGCCAACTTGGTGGCCCATGGTCAAGTGTTCAGTCTATACTAGGACTCAGTTGCAAGCTAGAAATTATTTCTCAAAAAGAGAATAGTTACCTGCAGAGGATGGTACAGATTTACTCCCAAATTCTAAAGATGTGCACTGCAATTCACTTATAGGGGCCTTTTCCAAAGGCTCCATACAGCATCCCTTTCAGCCACAGATGGTTCAAGTACCAATGGATTTGTTGGGCCTTATGGCTTAAGTGGCAGAGTAGCTTGTATGGCAGCCTAGACATTCAGCAAAACTGACAACCTTTGGGTTATTTGGCAAATGGGTTAAAGTAGCACTCGCAAATAAGATATATCTAGCCTCCAGAATTCAAAGAGGCCCACTAGCTGTTATGCCTATTTCTTAGTGGTAGGAGGGGCCATATGTAGCAACTTGCCCTTTATCTCGGAAAGAATATCTTGACATGGCCCAGATGACTAGACCCTGGGAATTTTACCTAGGCGGCAGGCACCTGAATTTTTGTCGCATTTATTTCCCACCCTCTGGCTTGAATGTGTCATAGCATACTGTCTAGGGTAATTGCTACTTCCTACTCTCCAGGTCCAAAAGGCATGATATCATCAATATAGTGGACCAGTGTCACGTCCTATGGAATGCAGAGGCAATCAAAATCCAAACAGACCAGACTTTGACAGAGGACTGGAAAGTTGATAGAGCCTAGAGGTAGGACAGTGAAGGTATATTGCTGAACCTGCCAGCTGAGAGCAAATGGTTTCTCATGGTCTCTACTAACAGGTGTCTAGAAAAGCATTCACTGAGCAGTCGTCATCCTTGAACCCAATTAAGTGTTGTGAAACCAGCCGAACTTGAAAGACTCCAAATATCTCCCGAGTTGTATGTCTTGTTAGTATTTCCAAGGGTGATGTGGAATGCCAGCTGTTCTCAGCACAGCTTCACAACTCCTTCTTTGCATCAAAATGAAAAGCAGGAATATTAGAGGCATTTGGCTTCTAAGAACAAGCTACACTACAAGTACTTAGTGATGGGACATGGTATTAATCCATGAATTTTATTGCATACCAGAATGTGGAAGATTAAAGGTTATAAGAAAATTCAGACATTCACTTTGAGTAATTTCCTGAGAAGATCTGTGTAAAAGAAATACTTGTATATAGAATCACACTTTCTCCTTGATTTTCATTGCATTTTGATACTGTATGAAAAGAAAGAAAGATGAAGGCAAGATTGAATCAGCTGGAATGAGTTTCCCGGGCCAGTAGCTAAGAGGTGATTTTGATAAAGGAATATTAAATGGGTGGCATCAAATTCTTGCTGGGGAGAATATCATAGGAAGGAAGTAGAATAATAGAACAGCTGGCCTGGAAGGGACCTCAGAGGCCATGCAGTAAAATTCTCTCATTTGACATGTAAGGAAAATAAGACTCACTGTCAAGTGACTGGACCACAACCACATATCTAGAAATTTAGAGTTTCAGTGAAGCTTAATAGCCTGGTCCTTCCTCTGACGGCTATACAACCACGAGCAAGTTGCTTAACTTCTCAGTGTCTCGGTTTCCTCATCTATAAAATGAGGGTAATTACAGTGCCTACCTCAGAGGGTTGTTGTGAAGACTAAATGAAGTATTTAATGTGAAGCTCAGAGCAGGATGGCACATAGTGAACGGGAGCTTCTGTCTCTTACATCAGTGTGATTTTGGACCATCTATGCCATCTTTGAAACGACATTTTGGAATCCAAGAGCCAGTCAGAATAGGATGGTACTAACTTGTCTTGACGGTGATCAGACCTCTAACAACGGCCTTTTCAAGCTGTCTCTCGTCACCTCCAACCAACAACGACCTTCAAAGAGTAATGGTAGCTGCTTTATCTTTACCTCCCAAATCTTGGACAATGTCACTTCTGGCCAGCTCTCGGAATCATTACAGAGGAGGGGATTCTGGGAAGCATATTTCTCAGTTGACAGTAGGACAGCACAGTGGCTCCTTGCCATTATAAACCCTGTGTCAGTCCTTCTTTCTCCTGAAAATACATGACACAGTGTGCCATTTTATTGTATCTTATACACACTGCTGGCATCACATGATATACTAAGTGGTGAAACTTTTTTTTGATATTGGTGGCTTGCCTTCTTTAGATGCTCAAAAGTCCTAGAACAGTTATCAGCTTCTTTAGAACTCAATGTAGCCATTTGAGATCTCTTTGAGGTGTCAGCTGGCAACACAGAGCAACTTGTGTCATTAGCAGGCATTTGAAATATGCAGTGCTGAATTGTAATGTGTAATAATGCATTCCATCTCTTTTAATCCTGTGTTTTAAGAGAAAATATGTGTGAAGGATTAGAAAACAGCTCTTTCAAGAATTTTTCTGATATGTTTATTTTAATCAAATAAGGTGATGCATTCATTCTCTTCTGGCCGTTCTCAAGAGTGGATACCCTGTAAGAATTAAGTCAGATCCAAACACAGGAATTTATTTTCAAGTAGTTCCTAGTGTGATAATATTTTAGGTAGTTGAGATGCATTCAAGCCTTCCTTAGAAACTCTTTTCTGCTACACAGGGTGGTAGGAAGAGCATAATCTTTTTCGTGTGTGTGTGAGGAAGATTAGTCCTGAGCTAACATCTGTTGCCAATCCTCCTGTTTTTGCTGAGGAAGATTGGCCCTGGGCTAACATCTAGGCCCATCTTCCTCTACTTTATGTGGGATGCCACCACAGCATGGCTTGATGAGCGGTGCGTCTGTCCACGCCCGGGATGCGAACCTGCGAACCCCAGGCTGCTGAAGCGGAG